TATACCCACCCCCACCCCCACCTCCATCCCCTTCTCTCTCTCTCTCTGTCTCTCTCTTTCTCTCTCTCTGTCTCTGTCTGCCTGTCTGTCTGTCTGCCTGTCTGTCTGTCTGTCTGTCTGTCTGTCTCTCTCTCTCCCTCTCTGTCACTAACTCTTGCCCTCCCTTTGTGTAAAATAATTGCGAGTGCAATTGTGCCATTATGTCTGGTGACGTCAAACACCCTACAAAACAGTTAAGGGTCATTACATTTTTCAGAGGAAAACTCGGGTTCCTCCAACGGTAAAAGGGCTAAAATAAAAATAAGAAAAATATTATTATATTGTTCTTTTCTTAGCACGGCAAACTTCCATTAAAAGATTCTTTGCTGACAAAGTCGCTGCTGCCTTTCTCTGTTGGTTCTCTGTAGCAGATTATCGATAAAAAATATTTTTAAAAAACATGATAAGACAGACTAATGAGTTGTAGCTTTAATCCTCAAAGCAAAGAGACGTGGTACAAAAATCCGCGGTTGCCCATCCTATAACAGTCCACCTCACCATACTATGTCAAACCAACACAGGCTGTCCCGAAAGACGAACAATGTTACGTCCAAATTGGAAGACAACATAATCTTAAAAGACACCATAAAATTTACGATGACTCAGATGCTACGCGTCGTGGATTATGCTTTTCGAGGATTTTTTTCTGTGCTTGTGTTTTGTCCGTTTATTTGGTTTTACTCCGAGATTTCCATACTTAACCCCTAAATTACCAGCAAATGATGATGATGTTCGTAATGGTTGTATCCTCTGAAAGAGAGAGGGAGACATAAATCTTGGTTTATAGGAAAGTGGTTTTGGCGCGATTTTTTTTAAAAGATTCTTTTGTGTTCTTCTCTCTGTCCCTTTCTAATTACCCAAGTCCATTCCTTATGCACTTGATGCATGATAATTACGTGCTACTGAATTCATTTCTACGTTTCTGTTCTGTTTGAACTGTTGTCGTAAATCGCCACGTTTCAACCGTAATCGACGATATTAATTGTTTCAGATGTAGAACTTAAAGAAGAAGATTATAATAATATGCTTAGTGAAAGGAAATCTGGCGATGAATATTTTGTAAAGAACGTTTTGTCGGGATTCGTAAAAGTGCGTTTTTTTCGTTTCGGAAAAAGATTTAAACAAAATGCTTTTATGCTCCCAAACCGAGAAGCTAAAGGAGAAGAAGAAGAAGAAGAAGAAGAAGAAGAAGAAGAAGAAGAAGAAGAAGAAGAAGAAGAAGAAGAACAAGAACAAGAACAAGAACAAGAACAAGAACGAGAACAAGAACAAGAAGAACAAGAAGAATAAGAAGAACAAGAAACAATAAATCTACTTTTAAAAAAGATTTTAATTCGCAAAACCAATTATCCTCTGGCAGGCGAACATAATATAATATGGGGGCACTGCACTCGATCTCAAAACCTTTTTACCTGATTTCATTACGTTTACAGCTAGGCTCTTCGATATCAACGCATTGGTGTTTTCTTAGATCTAAAAGCTCACCTCTCGTGCACTGATAAAGATTATTGGACATAATTATTTTTCGAAAGAAAATTGAAGCTTATTATTATTCTAGTACTTGTTGGTGTTAGACATGAGCTTCAAATTAGGCTTTCTCTTCACCTTTTCACCTCTGCGTTATAGGCTTAGGACTATCACACATAATGTCACTTTTGGTAACTATTCCTGTTGGAATATTACGGTGATTCTTAAGTCGACACTGATAAAATACAGTGGTCCACAAACGGTAGTCCTTTGTGCTTAGCTTTGCCATTCTTACCGCTTCCTTGCAAATGATCTAGGACGGGCTTTCCGTTCACCCGATTTTCTCTTGATTACGTTTTGGGCCTTCAAAATCGGCATATTGTGTTCTGTCACATGTTCATTATGGTTGTGTTTGTAAACTTTCTGACAGACTCTAAAAATCAAAGACTCGCTGTGCCTTGGCAAAACTGCATTCTGAATCCGGACAACTCTTAGCAGTTTTTAAGTCCTTTTTTAACACCAAAGATAGAAGGAAAACAAGGCGGAAGTAAACCAAGGGAAAGTAATACTTGGAAAACAAATGACATGAACAGATGGATGACGGGGAAAACCAGGAATTTATAGAACGGAGAACCATGATCACTGATGTCTGTTTCAGATAAGACATTTTATGACGATGATGCATAATATATTATTATGATAGGGGTGTGTTCACTACGCGGTGATTTCGTTGCATATGGAGAGAACTTTATTGAAGTCCTTGAGATTTTCTCGTCTGTGTGTGTGTGTGTGTGTGTGTGTGTGTG